GATTCCTGGGATGGAAACCGAGAGCCAGGTGGGGAAGAAGTGCTTGTTGAATGTCTCAGGCTTACACTAGACCAACAATTCACAAAGTGGGGCCCAGGAGCCCTCCACATCCTGTCTTTTCCAACTTGCATCTCCATGGTGGCCGAGTTGCCTTCCTGTCTTTCCAACATGACATTTTATCTCAGTAGATAGAATGTAGAAGTATTGGGAGAATCCAGTCTTTTTTCTCTTAAGCCAAACAGGAAAGTGACTTGTCTAAATATAAAATAATACCACTCTTTTCACTGAGTTTTCTTGTTTTGGAGAATAAAGTTAAATGAATTGAAAATTGGTTTTAATTGCTAACACTGTAAATATTAGTAAATATAAGTCTCATTAAGGGAATCTGTTTGGGTCCCTCAACAGTTTTTAAGATTATAGGATGTTCTGAGGCTAAAACATCTGAGAATCACTTACCTGAACTATATTTTCCTTCAGGTGCATTGATTTCTAATCTTGGCCTTTCTTATGTAGTTATGGTGTGACTTACACCTGGCCTATTAAGCATATGTTTCCTGTGTGAAACGAATGGTGGTTCTCATGTTCCTCTGTGTCCTCCGTGGTATCATTTCCATCGGCTTTTGGTCACAGCTTACTGTAATGTCATTATCAGATTCTTAGCCTTATGGATCTATGTTCTTATTTCAGGACCAGGTCATGAACATTTCCGTGATGCTCCCCGCCCTGATCATCCCCCTCATGACGGTCATTCCCCAGCCAGCAGAGAGCGCTCTTCTTCTCTACAAGGCATGGACATGGCATCCCTGCCACCCCGAAAGCGTCCCTGGCATGATGGGCCGGGCACTTCTGAGCACAGAGAAATGGAGGCCCCAGGGGGCCCTTCTGAGGACCGAGGAGGCAAAGGTAAAGAGAGGCTAGTGATTCCAGTTCAGGAGTTGCAGTGGGAGGGAGGCCTGGTCTGTGCCTGTCCCATGTACCCCTACTAGGGTACCTCGGGTCTGTTCTCCATTCTGACCTCTGGGGCTAGGCTCTGAGGAGGCATATGCTCCCAAATGTGGTGCAGATGAAGGTTTGCTTGGCTTCACACCACAGATGGATGGAGCAGCCTCTGGTGACTGCAAACTCAATCCTGCAGTCTCTGGTTACTTCTGGGAATCTCTGGTTTGTCACGGTTTCCACTTCAGCTCTTTGTTGAAGGGTCTCCACACTCTCCCTCTGCCAGACTTGCTTTCTGGAGACTCCTGATCTGATTGGCCTCCACTCATGCCTGCTTGGAGCCCTCACGTGTGTCCTCAGCAGAAGGGGATGAGTTATCCTCTTCCAGCTTCAGTGTTGCTTTTTTCAGCTTGAGCCAGAGAGGACATCGCTTACGCTCAAATCACAAGACTTCGAGGAACATGGCCTGCAGGAGGTGTTTCCAGGACGGCAACAGATTATCTTTACACCTCAAAACATTGAATCTTTATCCTAATGAAGGTGGTGCTATCTTAAGCCAGGAGCAGTAGTTACCGAATGTTAACCACAAGTCTGGCTTCAGGTTGAGCTGGGCAGTGGCATATGTGGTGTGGTTTGGGAAAGACAGCTGCTTAGTGTCCTAGCATCATGTGCTTCCTGCCCCAAGTTCACTTGCCTTATGTTTGCAGTCCCCCCATTACAAAGTTCTGTCTGCCTGCCTTCCTTCTTTCCTTCCTTCCTTCCTTCCTTCCCTCCCTCCCTCCCTCCCTCCCTCCCTCCCTCCCTCCTTCCTTCCCTCCCTCCCTCCTTCTTTCTTTCATCTACTTTTTGGTGCTGGGTTTTGAACCCAGTGACACTTAGTCTCTGAGCCACATTCCCAGACTTGTTTTGTATTTTATTTAGAGATGGGGTCTCGCTGATTTGTTTTAGCACCTTGCTAAATTGTTGAGGCTAGATTTGAACTTGTGATCCTCCTGCCTCAGCCTTCTGAGCTGCTGGGATTTTTGGCGTGCGCTACTGTGTCTGGCTGCCTTTTGTTCTTGACAGTTGTTTGGGTCTTCTCAGAGCAAAACCCTCAGAAATTACTTATACAGCCAAGTGTAGTGGTGCATGCTGTTAATCCCAGCAGCTTGGGAGGCTGAGACAGGAGCATCGCAAATTCAAATCCAGCCTCAGCAATTTAGTGAACTTAGTGGGGTCCTAAGCAACTCAGTGAGACCCTGTCTTTAAATAAAATACAAAAAAGGGCTAGGGATGTTCAGTGGTTAAGGCCCCTGGGTTCCACCCCTGGTAACCCCACCCCCACCCGCCCAAAATGAAATGAGTCATGTATCACCAGATCTTGCCCACTCAAATAGCTATCTTGTTACTAGTCTTGGATGAATTCTTGGGCACTCAGGACATCTTTGCATGTTCCCTGGCTAAGGACATGTAGCTGGTGTGGAAATGATATACATGATGGCATCTCTGCCCAGCTACCCTCCAGTCATCCTGTGCTGCTTTGTGAGAAGAGAAGCCATAATATTTGGCCAGCTCCCTTGATCTTGCATCTCGGCTACATTCAGCTTCTATTCAAAATTTCAAGATAAAGTTGGCATTAGTGATCTGAGAGCACATTATAGGAGAGATGGGACCAAATACTATCATTTTATGAGAAAAGTTTTTTTAAAGACAATTTTAGGGCTGGAGTTGTGGCTCATTGGTAGAGCGCTTATCTGGCATGCATGAATGAGGCCCTGGATTCTGCCCTCAGCACTGCATAAATAAATAAATAAATAATCAATCAATCCATTGACAACTTAAACATATATTAAAAAAGAGAGAAAATTTTAATAATACCTAACATTTATGTGTCTGAGTAAATAATTTTGAGAGGCAGTGTTTTTCTTTTTGTTTTTCAAGAAATATTCTATTTTATAAACTGTGTAAAAGGAAGCCAAAGCACCAAATGTTATGGGACAATCAGAGTCAATGCTGAGTCTAGCTAGAACCTTGTTATTAAGAGCAGCAGTAGTTTGTGTATCTTAGTTGCTTCCAGAGTTTAGTCACTGCTTTTGAAACCTTTCCTCAAATACCCCAATGCACAAGAGAGTGATGATACACTTCCCATAGTTTGGGCACATGGCCCAGTGTAATATAGATTTCCCTGGGGTGCTCCATACTTATCTCTTGGCTTCCTGTCATCTGTAGCACAGCTTTGGGGGACCATGGCCTCGAGCCAGGATGGGATGAAGTAGTGGTCAGGAAGAGGCAGAGGCATACCCATTAGACATTCCTGAAGTGGTCCACTGTCATTATACAGTGAAGTTTGTGCTAGAGTTATTGATAAGCAATCTCTAATATAAAAAGTCACGTTTGATATCAATGTTTCATTTCAGGCCGAGGAGGCCCGGGACCTTCTCAGAGAGTGCCAAAATCTGGGCGTTCCAGCTCTTTGGATGGAGACCACCATGATGGATACCATAGAGACGAACCTTTTGGGGGTCCTCCAGGCAGTGGCACCCCTTCTCGAGGGGGCCGGAGTGGCAGTAACTGGGGTAGAGGGAGCAACATGAACTCTGGCCCACCAAGGCGAGGTGCTTCAAGGGGTGGTGGAAGGGGTCGGTAGAAGTGGGTACTAGGCCTCTCTGGACAGTATTTAAGAACTTGTGGACTTACCAAGTGAAACACAAGGAAGCCCGCACTATTGTAGCCCTGAACTCTTCTGGGGTAGCTGAGTCCCAGGAGCCCCTCATGAGGTCTTCAAGATGAAGAGACTGCTGCCAGCTACCTAGAGTAGCTAGACTTGTTTTGTCCTGTCCACCCTCATTGCCCTAACTCCCAAGTTGTTTTTGTGAAGATAAAGCTGGAATCTTTTTTTTTTTTTTTTTTAAAGTGTCACGAGACATGGAACACCTCCACAACTTTAAGTTCATGTCCAATTGGAAATTTGTTTCTATATATGTACAGTTTGTCAGAGAAAAAAAACATTTAAGTTGTTTTTGTATGAATACAGAATGTGATTTACGCAAGAATTAACAGAAAACCAGTCGTGAAGTGCTTGCCTTAAGGAAATCTTTGGTTTCCATTGTATCTAATCTGCTGAGGGTCGTACAGTTATTATTGATGTAAATGAGGAGACTTGAGACTTGAGGGAACAGGTAGGTTATCTAATTTCATTTGTGAACTTGGTGCTTTTTAACATTCTCATCTGAATATTCTTTCATATCGTTTTTATTGTACAGTGAGGAATACTTTAATGTAGTTCAAAAGCCTCAGACATGCTCTGACAGATGGAAAATTATACTCAAGAAAAAAATCTGGCTGTCCAACTATGGGCTCTTGGGTACATCTCCCGGTAACCACACTTTAGATTTGAATTGCTTTGTTTTGATGAGAAAAACCTGGGTTTAAGTTAGAGGTTAACTACATACATCCTTTTGAAAACTTTAAAGCCATTTCACACACTAAGCTGAAAAGGAAGGGACTGAAATATCTGTTTTGCAAAACCTCAATTCTTCTTCCACACCAGCTTTGTGGAAATACCAGTGTTTAAAGGAGAGAATAGTTTTTAGAGTAAGCTAAAACGTTCTTGTCAATGGTGAATTCCTGTCATGTATTTAAGAAATATTTGGTTTAATTTGGATTGAAAGTCAAAAATTCAGTTAGACCACTTGTTATGCTGGTGATTTTATAGTAAGCTTTTTATTACTAAAAGGGCAGTCCTGTAGCTGTCTTAACATCATTATATTGCCAGCTTCAGTTTGGCAATGGAGACAGACAGGTGTACTTGGCAGGCTTAGTAGTGCTGGAGTCTCAGTGGTTGCTCAGGAAAGGGACACTGACATAGTTGGATAGCATACAGAAATAGGAACTGGCTGTATTAGTGGGAAAAATGATAAAGGCCAAGTTTTTTCTGTGGCGTGAGAAAAATGTCAAGTACCTACACTGATTTTTGAGTTATTACAACCTAAAGATTCCAAGTAAATAATTCTCATTTTACTTCAAAATTAAAAACATTTACCCGCACCCTACTATTAACACACTGTTAGGAGAATCAGCATTGCTTTAGGTTTATGGATATTCTTTATTTGTCCTCCACTTGTATAGCATTAGTAAAATAAATAATAATCAAATTCCAGGAAGCTAAAAGGATCCAGAGACCAAATCCTCATAGAAATTAGGTTCCCTTCCTTCATGTGGAATTATTAGCATTTAGAGTTTAACATTATAACTGGTTCCTGGGAAAGCAGATACCCAGATCACATTTTGAGAATGAATTTAGAGAAAAACAGAAATCTCTACATTATACATTTATTAAAATACTCAGAAATATAGTATGTATGGCATTTTAAAACATCATTGTTCAAATAAATACAAGATAAGGTGCTTTGAAAACAAGATTTTCAATGAATTGAGAAAATGCTGGACATTTTCGGTTTTTTGCTGTACTAGGGATCCACCCAGGGCCTCGGGCATGCTGGGCAAGCTTTCTACCACTGAGCTACATTCCCCAGCTCTTTTTATTTTATTTTGAGACAGGATTTAGCTAAGTTGTCTAGGCTGACCCTGAATTTGGGATTCTCCTGCCTCAGCCTCCCAAATAGCTGAGATTACACAGGCATGTGTTACTGTGTCAGGCTGAAAACAGAATTTTTAAAATCCTGGCTTAAGAACTATAATAGCAACAATATAAAAATATGTCAAACACTAAAATCCTCAGCCATGCATATTCTAGAGAAATTTAAAACTAGAATAGAAATTTAACTAGGGGACTAGAAAGAGCAGTCAATGGCACAAGTCTTTCCCATTATAAAAATAACTTACTCCTGAAAACTTGAATGTATCTTTTTGAGGTAGATAACCCTATTTATTAATAGGGGAGGAGGCAGTATTAGCAAGTACTAAGCAGGGTGGTAGCTCACAAGCCCACTTGTGGATGTTGGTCACTTCAGTCAGTATCATATCTTGGGGAAGGGCTCAGGACATTATCAGGACAGAAAAATGTACATTTGGGGACTGGAGGAAGAAGCAGTGCTCTTCTGCTGCTTGACACAGTATGTTAGGGCAACACTGGAATCCAGTCCCCCAAAAAACAATTATTTTCAAACTGCGCAAGCCAGGGCAACTTTGGCTGAAATGGAATCATCAGAGGAGCTTTAATGTCAATGCCTGATCCCACCTCCAGAGATTCTGAATGAATTTATTTAAAGTGTTGCTCTTCAAGTAATTCTGATGTGCCAGTTAAATGTAAGAACCATTGGCACAGAACTTTTAAATTCTAAATATATTTTACTAGTTTATAGTTAATGGTAAAACCTGTAGTTTTTCTGGACCCCTGCTTTCTGGCAATAAATTTAGTAGGAAAAAGTAACCACTGAACCTAAGACAAAGGGACTATAGTGATTATATATGAAAAGCATTTTATACTGTGTTAGGATCACCATGGAAATTGTAAACTACAGGCTAGGATTATAGCTCATAGGTCCAGCACTTGCCTAGTACATGTGAGGCACTGGGTTCTATCCTCAGCACCACATAAAAATAAATAGAAGTACTGTGTACATCTACAACTTAAAGGAAAAGACAAATAAACTGTAAACTGCTTTAAAAATGAAATACAATTAGAAGTGATAGTCTGCAGAAATCCATAATTTCCAACAAATATGGGAATTCTGAAAGTAGAATTACCTTCCTGTTCCCAGGATTTGCTAGCCCAGTTCTGCACTGAGACCTCTCCAAGGTTTACCGGCATCTTACTGGATACCAGGCAACTTGGGGCAGAAAATGACTCTCTTGTTCCCCTACTTTCATATCTAATTCAGGACCAATTTTCCTTTAATGTTACATAAGGCACCAAATTTACAATTTCTCTTAAGACAGTTTACCTCGGTTTTTTCCTTAACTAATTACTTTTTTAAATCCAGTGGTTAAATGTAATGCTTAATCTGATACTCTTCTGAGATTCATTTACACTGAAGACTGAGGGAAAATAATTTCCAAGTCTTAGGTACAGCCACCCCCCCCCCAAAAAAAAACACAAAACTATTGTAGCTCAACATCTACCACTGGATTAAAAAAAAAATGACAAAAAGTTAAGCCTGAGAAAAACCACAAAAACAACTAATGCACAGAGCCATTCCTTTTTTACTCAGCTCAATCTAAAATCACAGTGCAAAAAGAACTTCTAAGAGCAGCTTCACAGCACCAATTCCACGACAAAACTTCCTTTTCAGAGCACATGCTACCCAGGATAGCACGAAACGGCGAGATCAGGACCACCGGAAACCGCTGGTGTCGCAGTTTGAAACAGCTGCTAAAGGTTTACACTCGCCAGCACCGTCTGGACGACGCCTTCGCCCTAAGCGGCAGGTGTCATCAGGACGTTCTGCGGTGGTATAGTCCGGGAGTGGACGGGTGCAGTCTTTGGCTCGGCAGGGTTCTGGGGAGGTTCCGCGTCGTTCCCTGACGGCGCAGATCCAGGGTTCACACCGGCAGCGCATTAGCTAGGCCTGCGCAGCGGCCCAAGCGACCAAGCGCCAGGCGCAGCGCGGTGCCACCGCCCCACGGTAGCAGACTAGCCAACCAGGCCAGTAGGGCGGCCACCTGCGCGCAGGCGCCCAGCGCCGTGAGCGGCGTACTGCGCAGACCCATCGCCGAGTACAGCGTGGCTCCCAGCGCGGCCGCGTAGAACAGCGCGGGCCTCGACGGCGTCTCCTCGCAGCGTAGCAGACGTCCGCACGCCGCCCCGCCTCGCAGTATCGCACCGCCGGCGAGAGCCAGCACCGAGCCCAACGACCAAAGTAGCGCGAATTTGCGCGCGCGCAGCAGCAGCACCGGCGCGTAGAGTGCCGCCAGACCGAAGCAGAGCGCAGCGAGTAGCAGACAGGCTCCACCCACAGCCAGCTGCTGCCCGCGCGTCACGCTAGGCAGGCACGCCTGGCTCGCCGCCGCCGGCTCCGTGTGACTTCGCGGCCACGTCCACCGCAGGCCAGCGCGTCCAAGCCACGCTCCCGTCGGTCCGACCCCTGCCTCAGGCTCTTCAGCAGTCTCCGAAGCGAGTAGCTGCTCCGCTTCTGGTGGCCTGCCCGCTTTGCTCTGCGACAGATAGTCCTGCAGCTGGCGGTGGAGGTCTGCCATCTCCGACGGGACGGCGACGGAGAGGAGGGCTGTCACGCGCTTCCTGCTTTCGTTTGCGGCAGCAGTGGCTTGGCCAGATGGCGGCGGTTGGTGGACTCGGCGGAAGGGGCGGGGCCTGTGGCGCGCGTGGCCGTGCAGGGCAGTCTCTGTGCAGACTGGAGCAGTCTCGAGGTCTGGTCTGCTGGCCCGCCCCGCACCTCTTGCCAGTCTTTCTCTCAGCGCCTGAACCGGTTCTTTGGATTGTAGCCGCTAGACGAGTTGTGGCAGCATTAAAAGTTGGGGTGTGTGGCACACAAAGTACCCCTCTGGAAATACTGTCCAGACTGTCAATGGCTACATGGGCTGCTATACTGTGGTATGGAGGGATCTCGTTTTTTACTACAGCACGCACATCTAGTTATCTCAAAATAAAGTTTTAAAAACGTTTAGACCCACAGAACTTATTTGATTTCTTTGGGAACCAGGTCACAGTTGATAAATGAACGGTTAACACCCACCTCGACCTTGCTTGTCTTCTGGTCTTGGTTTGGGCCAGAGGCCTGGCAAGATCCTCGACCTCTCTACATCCCGTGTGCAAGATGTGGTGGTTCCTCTGCCTCATACCTGGTTTGGGTCTTCAGTGCCTCAGCCCCATCTCCTGACTGATCGCTTGCTTGGTCCGTCCCCTGTGTTCTGCAACTTTTCTCATAACATCTTGAGGTTTTCCTTACACCCAGGCCACACCCTCCGGCCTCCTAGGCCTGCTGCTTTTTGATACCTTCTGCTACTTCTTTTAAACTTAGGTGTACTTTCTGAAAGCAAATACAAAAAAAGGGATGCAGAATTCAACAGATCGTCGATGCTCTATTAAGCAATGGAGGGGCACATTTTCTCTTTTTTTAATATTTATTTTTTAGTTTTTTTTAGGTGGACATAATATCTTTATTTTGTTTTTATGTGGTGCTGAGAATCGAACCCAGTGTCCCGTGCATGCTAGGCGAGTGTGCTACCACTTGAGCCATATCCCCAGCCCTTGAGGGGCACATTTTTCAAGGGGAAAATGGCGATGGGATACAACAGGGCACTGAGTAAATTTTATAGGGTTTAGCAGGGCCAGGTCACAGGAAGAATTTTGTCTATTCATAAAGTGGTGGGCTCATTTAGGACAGGGTGAGTAGGGAGAAGTTGTAGGTAAGGGAAGTTCCCTGGGACCTGTTCTTTTACTGGGGACAGCAAGTTCAGCTATAGGTGGGGTCCACCTACGAGTCCCTTCAGAGCTCGCCCCATTTGCCTTTCCTGCATTCCCTCTGGCTGAGGCCTGAACTTCTAGTGTATTCTACCGCATTGACAAAAGCACCAGTTCATCACAGACATCACCCCACACACCTGGCAGGAGGGTACTTAGGGGAATAGTTGTAGGTAAGGAAAATTCCCTGGGATCTATTTTCCATATCCCTCACTTTCTGTGTTCACTATTTCCAAGTTACAATAGTCTTTGTTCACAGCTTTGCCAGCTCCTTGAGGACAGGGTCTGTTGTCATTGTTCTTTTCCTAGGACCTGATAAGTGTGCTACGACAATGGAATGAACAGACACAACTGTCAATTTTAGTGCAGTAAATGCCTGAAAGGCTTTGAAGATACTTCCTGAATCCATTGATTGGAAAACCCAACCTAATTTGTAGATGTTTTAAATGACTGTTGTGAATTTGTGATATGATGCCTGGAGGTCCCCTGCTTTCCCACTCCAGGAGTCCCCAGGGTGGGCCATACTTGTGTGTTTCCCGAATTTTCTAAGGTAGTAGATTGTGTGTGTAACTTCAGAGTAATTAATTCTATTTGTCAGGACAAATGTGCAGGACAGGTAAGTTATCCAGTAGTTTTTTCTTGTATAGATCTTTGGCTTATTTGCTCCCCAAGACCATTCTTTTCCTGCCCTCTCTGTATTGAGCTGGTGGGGAAGGAGAAGGAGAGAGAACTATTTTTTGCCCACCTCAGGACCAACAGCATGCTGAATACAGGCTGTACCACTGAGCTACATCCCCAGCTCATTTTAATTGTGTTTTGCTCAACATATGGATTATCAGCGAGGTATTTTTTGAGGTGACATGTTCTAGTTACCTACAAGGGCATTTTGGGCTGTTGCTATGCGTGTGTGGTTCTAAAAACCAAAGCTCTTGGCATTTAGTTGCAGAGTCCTGGGCACAGCGCTGGGAACTGGTGAAGTTCGCACACTTGGGTGGAGCAAGCGCTAATTCCCCACAAGGGGCGCTGGAGAGCAGCGCAACCAGCCGGCTCTGCTTGCCCTCCGGCACTGCTTTAATCCCGGCTCTCTCCCTGCGAGGTCTCCTTAAACTTCCTGGAAGCTGAGGAAACAGACCACCTCGAACAGGAGTGTTGGATGCCTAGCCGAGGGCTCATCCCAGTTTTTCTCTCTATTCGCTGAGGCTTTCTAGTGTCTTGCCTAATTAGGAATCCCTGAGCCATTGTCTGGGGTCCTCGGCCGACCTCGAGCACCATCTCCGCCTCGGAGGCACCCTGCGCCCGGGTCGGTCTATTTCAAAGAAAAGGACAAAGCCAAGCTGAGCACTGCGGACTGGCCTCTTGCACCGGCTGCTTGCTCCTGTTTTTCAAAAGCTGCTTGGGGACCTCGCGGCTGCAGCTCTAGATAGCAGCCCAGCTAGGGCTCACAGCCACTGGCGGCGGGCTTTGTGGGTAAGGATTTAACTGCGCTTCTTTCCGAGCTCCGGTGGAGGGGTCCCCAAGCGCATTATCGGTCCCAGGCAGGAAGTGCCTTCACTTGCACTGAGATTTCTCTGAGCGCCCAGGATGCAGGTGGGACCAGGAGCGCTCTCCTCCAAGAGGTCATGGCTGCGTGGTCGTCTGGCCCGCCAGGCCCAGGCCACAGGGGTTGGGGAAGCTTCCTGAGGGGCAAGAGGAGTGCCCTGCTTGACCCAAGCCTGCCAGACAGGGGCTGCTCAGCCAGTGCTGCACAAACCCCTGCTTTCCCACTCCGGGAGTCCCGGGGTGGGCCATGCTTGTGTGTTTCTCGAATTTTCTAAGGTAATAGATTTTGTGTGTGTAACTTCAGAGTGATTAATTCCATTTGTCTCAGCAGTTTGCTGTGTAATCCCAGCGACTCCGGTCGAGGCAGGAGGACTACAAGATCTTACTAGATCTCTTCTGGCGTACTAGCTACAATCGCTCTGACCTCAATATTGTACAATTAATGGTTATGTGAAATCCTGGAGTTTTCTGTGATCTAAGTGGAAACAGAAAGTAGGTATAGTTTGTTTTCTTGATTGACAATATTATTAAAAATTTCCCCAAAAACTTCATTTTAAATTTTTATCAAAAACTTAACTGTTTTAGAGTTTAACATCTTATATCAAAGTTAAAAAATATATTTAGAATATTTTGCCTTATACCTAAAACTCATAACAATTTTATATACTGTTTCCATAAACAAGTGAATCATTTTTAAAATGACTTCCTTTTGCCTGACCATTCCAAAAGTCAAATCTCCTACTGTGTATTTGTGTTGTTATAGGCATACCAGATATTGTCATAAATTCTCCTCATGCTAATGGGGAATAATTGGAAACGGTTGGTTATACAACAAGGACTTACCTGGAAGGTCATATTTGAGAATGATGGTTTTTTTTTTTTTTTCTTTTTTCCAGTGCTGGGGATGGAACCTAGGGCCTCAAGCCTGCCAGTCAAGTACTCCACTACTGAAATACACTCCCCGTCTGACAATACTGCTCATTTAATCAGATATAACTAGATCCTTTTAAGGAGCTGAGATTGACTTTATGGAGCTAGTGTTTACAAAGCCCTTTTGGGAAAACCAGCCTGGTATCTGGCTTACATCATTCCCACAATTTTGGAATTGTAATGAAGATGACTTTCTGGCAGGCCAGAGACCTGAGGATATTCTGGGAAACTGAAGAAGAGAGGAGTTTTTCCAGAGCTAAGAGTACCTCACCAGGTCTGGTGGCAAGTTCCTAGCTTCTGGCCTTAAGTGGTTACTGAAAGCCCAGTCCAATTTTTTTTTTTTTTTTTTTTATACAAGGATTGAAACCAAGAGCATTTAACCACATCCATATCCCCAGCCCTTCTTATTTATTTATTTTGAGACAGGGTCTCACAAAGTTACTTAGGTCCTTGCTAAGTTACTGAGGCCGGCCTTGAACTTGAAGATCCTCCTGCCCCTGAGTTGCCAATTTGATATCTTTAGGTAAACTTCCTACCAAACAAACTTTGAAGAGGCACACGCATGTGAAGTGGGGGGAGAGATGGAAGATAGAATCCACAGCTTTGTGTTATCCAGACTGGCCTACTGCTTGTTACCCTTCTGCCTCAGACTCCCAAGTATCTGGGGTTATAGGCATGCCCCACCACATGATGCCCATCTGGTAAATGTTCTTCCTATGAAAATAACTAGACTAAGTCTAATCAGAGCAGTTTTATTTTGTGGACCAGAATAAGAAGAATAATCTGAAGGGCCCCATGATGCAGTCCTATAATCCCAGTGACAAGGGAGGCTGAGGCAGGAGAATCACAAATTCAATCTCTGGTACCAAAATCATCATCATCATCATCATCATCATCATCATCATCTTTCTTTGAGATAATTTTTTATCAAAATTGGGAGCCTGAAGGGAAAATATTGTTTTAATGGAAAATGGTGCATTTAATTCATAGCACATTATGGAAGGTTATTGAATTTCATTGTCTTTGAGCTACTTTGCATCTGTTTGTAAATTGCAGGTAACTGATGGCTATGCAAACTCTGTTTTGTCTGGCGGAGATTTAATTGACTCTACTGCCGACTCCACAGATGGAAGAATATAGTCACACTTACAATTATCCTTTGCTAGAAAAAGCCTTTGCTTCCCTGAGTACACAGCCCTCATTAATCATATAAACTAGCAGCATAAGGTTGATTTACCCCAAATTTACCTAATCTGTATCATTGCCCTTCAAGACTGATTTGGATCAACAGATTACCAGCTACCAGGTTTCCTCCATCATTTCCTCCCAAAGATAAAACGGCAAGTGGTTCATTTCTTTTTACAAAAGAATTAAGATGATTTTCAGGATCCTAATCCACCATCTTCTTAGTTATGGCTTGAATCTGGACTGTCTCCCTCAAACACTCATGTGTTGAAAGTATGCTTCTCAATGCAGTAAGGTTCAGAGGTGGGGTTTAGACAATGATTGGATCGTGAGGATTCTGACCTCATCCAGCAGTTAATCAGTTTGATGGATCGATCTGTTGATAGCTGAATGGACTACTGGGAAGTGGGACCTAGTTGGAGGAAGTAGGTCACTGGAGGTGTGCCCTGGAAGGGCTCCGGTCCTCCCACACCCCTCTACTTCTTGGCTGCCATGAACTGAGCAGCTTTCCTCCAGGATGCCCTTCCACCATGATGTTTCTGCCTTGGAGCCAGCTGACCATGGACTGAAACTATAAAACCATGAGTGAAAATAAATCTTTCCTTCTCAAAGTTCTTGTTAGATATTTTGGTCACAACAAAGAAAAGTTGATTAATACATTGAATAAATCTTTTTCCTGACCCCAACAACTTGTCCTGAATTAATTGGGCCCTTTTTAAGCAGTGAGTAAATGGACTTGCATTTGATCACAAGAATGGGTTGTTAATTAGAATTACAATTGAGTTTGCAATTGTTCATTGGAATTTGCAATTGGAGTTGCAAATTGGAATGGGCACTTCTACCTTGTCCGTACTATCAGTCCTTACCAAATTTTAAGTTCTTCCAGTTGCTATCAATAGCTGGTTATAACCATCCAAAAGAACACTCCCGATTTTTCTCCCTGTCACCTGACTTGAACCAAAAACAAAAGCCTGACCACCCAACCCGTTGTTTGCCTGGACCTTTCTCCCAAGACCTGGAGAAGCCCTGTGAATGAAAGTCTGGCAAGCTTGAAGGATTCTCCACCCCAGCACACTCTTGTCAGCTAAATTTCTCCCTGGACAAGTGGGCAGAAGGCTTGGGTCGTGTGTACCTTTATGTGGAAGGTAACCAAGATGTTACAAGCTCATTTAAAATACCACCATTGAGCTAGAGACTTAGGAAACTTTGAGCGTGCTGCTGCTGGACACCAGCTCTCCTCACTGACCTCCTGGAACCTGTTGAACAGGACACTTCCAAGGTTCAACTCTGGCTTTTTACATTTTTTTGAGTATTTTTTAAAATTTTAATTTGTTATGTATGACAGCAGAATGTATTACAATTCATATTACACATATAGAGCACAATTTTTCATATCTCTGGTTGAACACAAAGTGGAGTCACACCATTTGTGCCTTCATATGTGTACTTGGGGTAATGATGTCCATCTCATTCCACTGCTGGCTTTTTACTTTGATGCAACTTTTTCTATTAATATTTCCCTTTTTTCATTTTGGGCATCATCTTTCAATATATCTGACCTTCCAAAAACTAGTTCACCTGGTTGTACAGACACAATGTCAGCAAGCCTCCCTGAGGTTTTATTTCTTAGTCTGTCCATCACCCACTCAGAAGATTGTCAGCGACAACCAGTAGTTGAAGGGAATGAGCACATTGAATTTAATTTGAGCCCTGTCCTTTTAGAAAGCAGTAGTGATTGAAAAAATCGTCATTTGTCTTTGTTTGTTTCCTGTTGCTATAACAGAATACAAGAGACTTAGTAATTTATAAAGAACAGACTTTTTTTTTTCTTTTTCTTTTCTTTTCTTTCTTTTTTTTTTAATCACAGTTCTGAAGGCTGGGAGGTCCCAACCATAGTGCTTAGCATTTGACAAGGTGAGATCCATCTGCTTAGCTTTTGACAAGGAGAGAAGTGGAAGGCCAAGCAGGTGTATACTAAGAGAGTTGGGGACAAAAGGAACTTCGTGCTTTATGAAAACAACCGTATCTCATGATAAGTAATCCACTCCTGCAGGAACTACATTAGTATCTTCATGAGGAAGGACACCACCCCCCCATGACCCAAACACCTCTTTTTTGTTTTCCTTTCTGGTGGTATTGGGGATGGAACCCAGGGCTCCATGTGTGCTTGGCAAACACTCTTTCATCCCCAGCCCTTTAATTTTTTTTTCTTTTTATTTTGAGGCAGGGCCTTGCTAAGGCTGGCCTGGAACTTGTGAGCTGCCTGCCTCAGCCTCCCAAGCAGCTGGGATTACAGATGTGTGTCACTGCCTTGGGCTCAAATACCTCTTAACAGTGCACAATTCCATGACATTCTGAATTTTATTACATTGGCAATTACATTTCCACATGAGTTTTGGCAGCAACAGACCCTATCTAAACTATAGAAGCTGGTTATGTTCTTAGAGCTGGTGAACTGGAAAGGTTCAACTTAACCTGTGCTTGCAGACAGAACTGAACTCTACCCTTTATCAAGACCCTTGCTTACTTGCACTGGCAAACTCCTTGTTCACTTCTGAGACATTCTTCTTTAGTGAACCTTCTATTTCAATAGATGGAATAAAATCATTTATTTAATTGTTCCTTCTGTTTCACAATGTTAACAATTTAGTTCATGGTATCATAATAGAACACTTTGAAATAATATTGTATCAGTTAAATTGCACTGTCACTTTAAAGCCAATAATTCAAAACTTTGAAAAAAAAGAAATTGAATGATTTAAATAATATAAGAAACAAAATTTGGTTTCCAAATTAGAGATGATAAAACTGCTAGAACCACATGTGGTGGACATTGTCAGGCAGCATTTGCTGAAGAGATGCAGACAGTGGCTGAGCGACCAGTAAAGCCTCATGTAGCCCAGCAGCGAGCCTATTTCTAGAACGGCAGAGGAAAGGGTATGGTAGATTCCTTCCCTAATAAACATTCTCCATTTAGCTGGAGAAAATGATTCAAAACAACAAGTCTTTGGAAATTGTCTTAAGGTCATCCATCAAGTAGAAAAACATTCATTCAAGAAACTCGGTTAAATATCGTAGGAAATATATGGCATATGAACCACAATTCACTCCCTCCACTGCCAGTGCCATCTTACAAACTATTACAAATGCTCTACTTGATGCAAGAAAAGGAGTGCTCTGCTGTATCCACAGACCCCAGCTGTAGGACAGAAGCTCTACTGCAGGTAAGCAGCCTGAGAAAAATGAGACCTCAATCCTTAACCCCTCCCACTGTAGCTTCCATACCAAGAGGGGTGAACCAAGAAGACCAGGAACTACCAACATCCCAGTGCCCACTTGTAGAGCAGAAGCATCATTCTGGGATAAGTTGGTCACTGTCCCCAACTTAAGGCCTTTGCAGTAGCACATAGATTTTACCCAGGGTAGAGTCAGAGGGGACTTTTAAATTTGAAACAGAGTGTGGAAAATTCCATGCCT